TTAATATGCTGCTGAGAATATAGCCCAGAAGAAGCGTATACTATAGCTTTTATTTTGGAAAGAGCCATTTCTCTGTAATAAACTCTCTTTTCCAAAGATGAGTGATTTCTCGATCAGATAGATTTATTTTTCTTTTATTATTTTGTTGTTTCAGCAACATTAAATTTAAAAACTACTTTTGAGTTAAAATATATATTTATAATTTTAATAAATGACAAATTAAAAAGGCATGAACATTTTTTTGTATCGAAAAAATATCAAACCGTGACACCAAAGTATTGAACCGAACGGATCCGTGAATTGTGTGTATCGATTCACCCTAGTATATATGTATATTAATGCCCTGTCAGTATGTGGGAGCCGAATATATCGGAGACCTCAAAGCTCAGTGCAGAATTTATAAAAATAGGAGGGGCTAAAATGATATCGGCTTAAATTTGTGGAGGAGAAAAGGTGTCAAACTTGTCCATAGCACAGACCAACAATTGGTTTTATCGCCAGTAAAAACACTTAAAAAATATATAATATGTACACATGACCCTGAAAATAGTTTGCCGTGATTTATTTAAGGGTGTTATTGAAGTAAGTATGGATTCCTAACCTTCTGAATCCATGGCTGAAACTTTCTTTTACCTTCTCCTTCAATGGTGCACCTGCTGACATCCACCGACTTAGAGTTGATTACCCCGACCACAGGGTAGCCCTCCACCTCCCCTGCGGGTTCCCTGGGCATGAAGGATATACTGCTGCCATCATCAGGGGCAACGGTTGCTGGGTGGGGGTCATAACCCCTCTCTGCCAGGCTGGTGAGTCTTCTCAAGGTCACTCCTTTGGCACTGAGGATCTCAGCGTCAGACCCGCAACTCAGGAGCCGCTCTGCGAACTCCACACTGCCTCGGATGTCCAGCAGAGCCTGCTGAAGCTGCACCCCCTGTAAGTGGAGGTGGTTCCTGATAAACAGAGAAGTTAGACAAGCAAAAGTTGAAAGCATTTCCTCACAATATTCTTGGTAGACCATCTGTGGTTTTTGGTATCTGTGGCATGGCAGTGAATAATTACTGTATTACAATATTCAAGAAATAAATGGATTGCTTATGCTTGTTTAATTCTGATTCATTTTTGTGTGATTAAAAGGTTATGATCAGTTCAAAACATAACACACAGAATTAGCTCTGTTTCAGGAGATTTCAAACGCACTGGGGTGGCAGTAAGTCAACAGCTTCACAAAATAAGAAACACTTTTAAGTCCAGTGAAAACAACATCCACTTGGAATCAGCTAAAAAGAGCATTTGGACATTAGACAATAAGACAACAGCATCGATATCAAACACACTGCCAGTGAAACTGCAGCTGCTCAGCTTATTGACTTTTTATATATACTGGCACAAAAATGTGTTGAAATGGATCCACAAACACTTAGCAGAAGATTTCCTGGGTTTTATTTTCTGGGTCTGACTTTATAATCTAAACACTGATGAGGTTGTAATACTAAAAACAAAACAAAACAAAACTGTAATAACCTGTTAATCTTAACCACAACTTTGGCGACTCTAGATCATAATCAGTAACTACTCGGTAAACTATTCAGTCCTGGGGTGGTTCATTCATCTTTAGGCAGTGCGAGGAAATTGATTCATGAACAGCATTGTGTCCTGCTGTGGCAATAAGATCCTGTCTCCTCTTGAGAAATAGCTTTGGGAAAGGTAATGATATGCTAATTAGCGCTTGGCTCTTCAAATCACAGACAAACAGTATCCCACATTCTTGATTTTTAGTTCACAAACACTTGTAATGACTAACTACTCCTGACATTTTGGAGATGTTAGCTCTTTATACAGTAAAGTTACAGCTGGATACAAATAATATCAGGCTGATCCTGCTACAATTTGTTCCCCCGGTTCAAATCACAGACAAACTGTATCTCACAGCTGTTTATGTTTTTAAATCTATTTCGCACAGAGAGGCATTTTTTGAAAAATGTATTGACAGCAATGTTGAATATTATTACACAGGAAAAAAAAACCCAACTACATGTAAAATAATCACACCGTGACGCCTCTGCCTTTGTAAATGGAGGGACAATAACTGCATGTGTATGTAAGCATGTAAAACCTGAAGATAGAGACAAAATACTGTTAATCTGACTATCTGCCATTCTGCAATTCATCTCATGTAAACAATAACGTGGCACACAGCGTGACGTGAAAAAAGGCACATACCTTTGACGTTGCGTGACGAACTCTGTATTCCTCGTCCACGCGTAAACGCAAAGAAGGAGTTTTAAAAATCTCAGTTTTCGGTGATTCGAAACGCCGTTTCCGTGTGGACGAAACAGCTGCGTTTTCAAAAATACCCGTGTAGGTGCGGACGTAGCGTAAAAGAGTTAGTAGTTTATTTTATTACTACCTGTAATTTATTGTATTGTATTTGCTTAATTGTTTACTACTAAATTGTTTGAGGTGTGAAATAAATCGCAATGGAGCAAAATATGGGTGTGTGTGTGGTTGGAGGATGTGTTTGTGTTTGTGCGTGCGTGTGTGCGGGAGAGGGGGGGGGCATTTTTGTAAAACAAAGGGGGGCCTAGCAAGAAAAGTTTGGGAACCACTGATCTAATGTAATGTGGGAAACCCAGGATCTAGAGAATCGTCAAATCCCCGCTAAGTTTAAGCTGGTCAGTATGCATGTTTTTATACCTCCGTTGGACGCGGAGCTCCTCCAGACGCCGCAGCAGAGACAGACAGTGGGCCTCCACTGCGCTGGCGTAACCTCGTGCGAATGCCCTCACCTCATTGGCTGTGGCCTCAACTCGTGCCTGCAAAGTCTCCTGAGATGCTTCCACCTGTGCCAGTGGAAATGTATATTATAGTTCTAAAAGCACATACTGGTCATTTAAAATAATAAGCTTAACAATCTGTGCTAGAACAGGTTTTCAGAACGAGTATGTGGCTTTTTTTCTCCTCTGAGGTGACAGCAGCGGTGCCCTTTGTTTAACTGTGAGCTACCCAAATTTCATGCCACTTGTTGTAAACATGAAGCGCAGGCAACGACAGAAGGTAATGGGACACTGGCTCAAAAGTCTGAATATCTTCCCAATAAAATGGCAGTCTTCACCTTCTGCAGTGACTCCTCCAGTCGCTCGAGTCGGGGTCGAAGGTGCACGTTAACCAGCTCTCTGATGCGGTCCCCATGGCGATCGATAACATCACGTGTGGGGCAGCAGCGGTGGTCGCGGTGCAGCGTGGCGGCACACTCCAGGCAGACGGGCAGGTCGCAGGGCTGACAGAAAAGCCGCAGCTCCTGTCCCGGGTGCAGGGTGCAGAGGACAGGCCGGACCAGACGACCACAAGCCTTCAGCTCCTCCAGAGCCTGAATGGAGTGAGACGCTGTTCGCTTCTGCCGTCTGAGGACACACAGACATATGAGCACATCTTTAAGTCAGAACACAGATCTGGATTTCCCAGGATGTCTGCTACTGTCTGTGCAGACAGTGTTAGTGTGTTAGTGCAGAGAACGGCTCAGAATCCATCTTGAAGACATACGTAAACAAGATCAGTTAGTGATGAAGAAGAACAGAGTAAAATACAATTTAAACCTCAGTCTCTTCAAAGCAGAATATATATTTTAAAAAAACCCTCAAATTTCCACTGTAACTGACTGCAGTGCAGAGAGTACCACAAAACAGCCTTTAATAAGTCACGCCTAACCATTAGTGTTGTGCCACTGTTAGTACAAACACAAAAGACAAACAAACAAATAAACAAAATATCCAGTTGAATAAAAGTATCTGAGAAAACCACCATCAGTTCCTAATATATACAAAGTTTATGGTCTCAGCCAGTAACTCCAGGGGCCTGTCTCGATATGCGTACTTGTGCGTACTTGTTAACTCGTGATACGTCATCAGTCGGAGACCAAGTACTGTTCCAATTCAAAGTACGCATCAAGCCGAAAATGCGAAAAATTTCCGGATGTGTTCTCGCTCTGCCTGTTTTATCGAGCATGCATCGGTGGTGACTTGTGTACTTGGTACAGCTAAATATCCCAGAATGCATTTAGTCCAAAACCCAAATGCAGCAATGGCAGAGGAGCGCAGCTAAAAACTTTTAAATATTACTCTTTCTGGGTAACAAAATAAACTTTTAAGTTATTTTCAAGTGAGAATGTAGCTGTGTAAACTTCAAAGATCTGCTCGATTTATCAAGATATCAAATATTTCCAAACGTGATCCGATTTCGGAGACGTCTGTTACCAACCAGCTCCATAGCAGACCGGGAGGTTGAGGATCACAAGAGCCGGTGAGAACAGCGGACTCCTGGCACATCGTTTACAGAGATATTTTTCAATTCAGGAGGAAACATTTTCACCGGGAAGAAAAACAGCATGTTAATACGTGGAGATTCTGAAGGCTACTTCAAAATGATCAGATTATATTTTAAATATTTGTTCAGTTCTCTTCCAAACCCCAGCAGCTGTCTATTGTAATTGTCCACTAAAATAAAAATAAAAGCCTTCTAACATCTCACCTGTTTGTTTTTATTAAGGCATACATGTACACAATTTTTATTAAAAGAGATTTCGCTACTGAGGTTAAACATGATATATAAGTCACTTAGATCATTTCTAATTGTTAATGTTTGGTTTATTTCAGTGTTTTATTTGTTCCTGGGTAAATCGGTTTGGCTGAGATTTAAGTTAAGCTTCATAATATATTAATCACAGTTAAATTAAGAGGGGACGGCAGCAAAAACTCCTGACTTGAGACATCATCAAGTATACTGGTGTTCCATTTGTACAAATCACGTGTCCATGATCGCGTTCTTGGCAAGTCCGGACTCGCGTACTTGAGAATTGAGAAAGGATCCAGGGCTTAATGAATAAAACATGCTGCATAATTTGCAAATTTTTGTCACCAAACAGCAGAGTGTGCTTTTTGACCTCTCAGGGCCACAGTAGCCTAAGATGCACAGCCTGACACTTTAAAAAGGAGATCTCAAAAAGGAATGGATGACGTTTTTGCAATAGCTATCTTCCATTTACAGTCTGTGGAACAGACTCAAACGAAAACCAAACAGATTATCGAGCAGTAGAAGTAATAGATTAAAATTTTTAAACACGGTAAAAACCTAATTTAATACATTAGACAGCAAAAAACAAACAAACAAAAAAACAGCATGTGGGATGTACGAAGGGATAAAGAAAACTGAGCTAAGGCATAATAGCAAAACAGAATTAAAAACTAGCCTCGGAGCTAACTGTACCTATGCGCTTGGCAGCAGAACTCGCACAGGTTGACGGAGCACACCTCGCAGCGGCTCCCAGCACCTCCTTCTCCGCACAGGTCGCATCCCAGCGGGCCGTCCGTTTCCAGGGTCTCCACGAATACTTCGTCCAGTGCTAAGTGGTCGGTACTCAGCCCGACGGGCCCGGACGGAGGGAGGTCTACCTCTGAGTCGCAGTCAGGGCAGAGCACCGTGATAGTGACGGCGGGTCGGTCTGCCTCTAGTGGTTTGTCCCGCTTACCGCCCTCCGGAACATCCCGTTGGATACGTGAAGACACCGAAAACGGCTCCAGCTGAGCGATGCAGTCAGAGCAGAACGTGTGCAGACACGGCAGGATTTTAGGGTCCCGGTACAGGCGCTTACACACCTTACACACCGCTCTGGGATTCACCAACACGTCGCTCTGCTCGCGTCCAGAGCTCTGTGCTCCCTGCTCCGACGTTTCTTTCTGCTCTGACTGCGACATTGTTCAGTTTGGGTGATTTCTGGAGCAAGAATAAAGGGGGGGAAAAAAAAAACCCCCAGCGAGTTCGAAAAAGTTGTCAGAGCTGAAGGAAACTTCTGTATAATCCCCTTTCTGCATAATAAATCACACGTTTTCTGCACTGCGGCAATCCACCCCATTCATTAATTAAAAGGCCATTCGAAAGCTCCACTTTTGATCATGAGAAGTTTACTGCTCCATGGGACATTTGACACCTCTCTCATTGGCAGACCAATAGGAAACCTCTCCCGGGCTATCCGGGGTGGTCCAAAACTTTACCGAAGTCTTCAGCACAGTGTGGGACTTTGACTGCCCCCATCTACTGGCAGGACGGTGGAAGATATATCCACTCACTGCCTGCATTTAAACCAGCAGTCCCCCGGGCCACGGACCGAGTCGTTTGTTACCGGGCCGCGAGAGTTGATGCTCGGGTGTGAAATTTACGGGTTTCATGGGTTTTATCGTTAACTCGGTTTGCCTGGGTCTTTTCCCGTGTTGTAGTTGTGTCTTATTTTGAAAAAAATATTTACGTTACCATAGCGACCAGAGAGCATTAAGGGGCAGAGAGAACATTACTCTTAATGTTGTTGGCGCATTTCAGGAGGACGCTGCTAAAGTAGTTACACAATTACACAGTGAATTCGCGTTTATTATTTACAAAATACCACAGTTTTTGTCTTGGTTGTATCATTTTTTTTGTTGTATTTATCCGCGACACCTTCACGGACCGGCGCCGGTCCGTGAAAATACTGTCGGACATTAGACCGGTCCGTGGCGCAAAAAAGGTTGGGGACGGCTGGTTTAAACTGTTGTAAATGACCCGTCGTCCTATAATCTGTGGAGCATACGAAATCACCTTTTGGGACAATGGCATCAACACCAAAAATAGCTTGCTGTGTTTACAGCATGGCACCAGAATTTCTAACAACTGATTCAGTTCACCCGAAGAAAAACATTAAAGAAGCATAATTACTTAGAAAAGAAGAAGAAGAAGCCACATTTAACGCAAAGGAGGAAAAGGGAGGAGAGATAGTGAAGAATGTGTGAGAGCCAAGTTTGTTCCAGTTTCGAAGTGCTGTTGCTAGATGACAAACTAATCTTAAGGAAGTGTTGCTCACACTTCTCCTTTTCAGTCAGCCTCAATAGTGGAGATGTACGCGATTCCTAAAAATCGGTGTGAAAAAGTTTTGCACATGAGATCTTGCTGAAACACAGTAAAGTCGAAATAAAATCCAGGAGCAGATAAATCAACTAAAATAATGGAAATATCACTGAGGTAAAAAGGTGACATATGCACATTTAAGCAGGTAACAAAAGGCACAAAACCAGCCGGACACCAGGCAGATACATAGATGATACTATAATAATAAGATAATACTAAAAGAAAAAAGCTGACAATACCAAATACTTGAAAAGCAATACGGGATGTGACTCACTGCATTATGTTGAACTATTGGCTGATTTTTTAGCTTTGTGTTTTCCTTTATGTAAAAGGTTTTTCATCATAAATTGATGCAGAAAACACATTTAATGGAGGACCTCTGCAGACCAGAGAAATTAAACTGACACCTACCACCAGGGATAAACCTTTTGTGCTGTGGATGTGGAAAGGACCCAAATGCAGACTTCTAATCAGGCAAAGTTAGTGTCACTACAGACAGGAGGACACAATCATCAATTCCCCAGGATTTACTTTCAAAGGTTTTAAGTTAAAAAAAAAAAAAAACCAAACATTTTAAAGCAACACTATCACCCTTGACATCACAAAAAGCATTTTTCAAAAATAAAACTTTAATTATTTAATTTTTTAAAATTCCGTCATTAATCTGAGTCTCATTGGGGTGAAAATATATTTGTGGAGAGGAATTAGAACAATAAGCATTTATAAAAACATTATCAGATGATGGAAATAGAACAACAGTATAATTCGAGTATGAATAAACAGCTGCAGACATCATCCTCACAAAATCCAAGAGGAATATACAGCTTTTTATAGACTGAGGTGTTTAAGGTTTATTTGAAAGGTTCAGATTACCTGAAACCAGTTCTGCCATGGTTACTGGACACTGTCTGTAGTTTTCAGATTTGAATGAACGGTGTAAGGTAACTCCAGAGGTAGAGCTTTCTAAAGAAATAAAGTGAGTGCTTCTATAATTAGACAGTAAAACTGTCACAGAAAATGTGCTAAAATGTCAATGTTTCAATGTTTTTCTTGTTTTGTTTCTATATTTCTGTATTTCATTATGTTACATGTCTGCATTAAAGTAAAATTTCAAAGTCAAGATAGCTGAATTTTACTGACATAATTTAAATGGAACTCTCAGTTCACACACTGTAAATGCATTAGAGGATGTAAAAAATAATATTAAAAGTTAATAGATAAATTATTAAAAACATCCAGCACAGAGTTAAATGGCATTACACAACTGTAACACACGCAGTAATAAATTACATTAAAGTAAAGCTACACAAGAGGACCGCTTTTGTGAATGTCAGTCTTTACTTTTGACATATCCTGACCTTAAATGCAGCACATGCACACACATATGCAGCCAGGGGTAGTATCTGCCTATATCTGTTGTGTTTTTTTGTGTACATTAGTGTGTCAAACGGTCACATAATAGATGCAGAGGAAACTGGTCATAATAATGAGATAAAGTGATCCAACTGGACGGAATGAAGCAGCACTGAAGGTGAAATAAGTCCTCCATGAAACGTTCGAGCCTGAAAAAATAAGAAAAATAATTGATTTTTTTCCTATAATATTATTTGCCTAGCTATATATATATATATATATATATTAATACATATATTTGCTTTTATTTTCTGGTAGATTTGATTTAAATTGAAGAAATATTCCCCTGACTTAGTGTTACACCTCCATAAATAAAAGATAGGCCGAAGGATGAATTTTAGTCCTTTAGTACAAATGTGTTTGGTATCAGGTCAATGTAAAAGTATATAGACTACCTGATATAGTTGCTTCAGAAAGAGACATCACCAAGTTGTTTTCAATCCTGAAGCTGTAGGTGTCACTGACTTGGACCGACAGCAGTGTGCTGAAGATGCTGAATATCCCCTCAGAGTTTTCTGTGAAAGTGGTGCTTCCATTCAGGATGTTCTCAGTTTGGTTTAACCACAAAAAGCTTGGCTTAGGGAACCACCTGACTGCCTCAGCAGACAGGGTGCCATTTGAGAAGGTGAAAGTGGGCGCTGAAAAAGCTGATGTAATAAAAGAGGGAAGAAAAAAATCCTGAATTAATATAGCAATCAAGAGTGAAGCTTCACTCAGTACTCACATTACTCAGAACAGCACGTTGGTTAAAATTCCCAACATTACAAAAACTAAGAATACCCTTATACCATCTTATTCCAATGTGTTGCAAACCATGCATTAAATACTATACTGCTAATGAATGCCAATAAAGAATGTTTAGATAAACACACAATTCATCTTGAAGAGTGAGTCATCCTACCTGCTGTTCTGAGTTGAATGCTGACCTCTCCTCCACCTTTAGAGGAGCTGATGCTGCATGTGTACTTCCCCTCATCGCTGCGTCTCACATTCCTCAGCAGCAGAGAGGCATTGCCTGTGACTACAGCCTCAGGGAAGAGCTGAGTTCTCCCACTGAACTGTGACGCCTGATTCGTCAGATCCGGAGCTCCATTCTGATAAAAGTAAACCAGGCCGGTCAGGTCCGTCTTCTTCCAGGTCACTGTCACTTTGTCTTGGGAAGTTTGTGTGTCAAGATAGCAGCTGAGCAGCTGATCCCCACCAAGGTTGGCGACAGGCTTTGTACTGCTGCTTATCACATTGGACTGGGGCTCTGTGGGATGTGGACATTTTATACACATATTATAGACTAGCACATTTGAATCAGTTCCAATTTGTTGACAACTTAATAACCGATTTAAATGATATTTAGTGAAAGTGTTGTTTGCTTTTGGCAGTTATAAAACTTTTAGCAGGAAGATTTTAAGGACAAGTTCACATTTTTCACATTCACATATCCTGAGAGAGAGACTGTGATTTCAAGAGATAGTTCAGGCAAAGCTATGACTATTTAAGGGTCTGAGATAGTAAAAGTGATTAAATTCTAAAGACACAGATAGATAGACTGTATATAAAAGATGGTTCTAGCATACAGGTCTGAAAAACAAAGCCAGGGTGGAAATGTCCTATACCTGTCTTCTTTCTACTGACCAGCAGGGGGCAACCATTGTAGCTGTCTAGAAAAGAAATCTACTTCTCACTTGATTTATAACCTCAGTAAATATTTTCCTAATGCCTTTATGGTCTCAGTCAGTAGTATTATGACTTCATCATGTTTAGCTTGGAAATTATCGTGCCATTTATAGAAAATAACCCACTCAAAGTGTGGTATGCTTTTTACTCTGTGACTGATGACTCACTACTGTATGAGCATGGCGTGTCCTTTGGTTCACAATCAGATCTTTTTTGGCATTCAGTTAAACTAAAAAAAGAAGTCCTTTTTTCAGGTAATAACATTGCGCATATTTAATAAATTTGTAATTTAATAAAACTAACATGCCAATTAATCTAGCTTGAATGCTAGCTAGCTATCAGCTTCACACATTCTTCTAAAATATAGTCACGCCCACTTTCAAGACATCAACAAGGTGATGGCCAAAATACCAGTTTCACAGGTTCATATAGGACAGGATTCCACAGTAAAAACTCAGGCGCACCATGTTTAAGAATGAAACTATCAATTGATATTTAAAGTCAATATTCCCTTAATACCATGTTAAACCGGCACCAGTCAAGCATACCTAAACACACATAAACATTTTCTCAAGGAAATGAAACATGAATATAGAGTATATGTGTTACTTGGCTATCAACATTATTTCTGTCAAGTGGAAAGTCAGCCTCACTTACAAATATTTACAGATCATTACACATGCAGATACAAATGAATATTTACAGTTAAACACTCGATGCTGTGCTGTGCCGTGTTGCCGTCCACATGGATTAACTGTATTTTAGTTTAGACAAACACAGCACATGGTGAGCACACCCATGTATCACCCCAGGCCTCACAGAGCCATCACTAATGACAAGAGGATCCAAACTGATCTGTGGGTCTTACTTGAGAAGGCCAGAGAGAAGAAGAGGATGATGAAGAAACTAAGTATGACGATGATGATGAGCATGCTGTGCAAAAAGAAAAACACAAGTGCAATTGTAACAAAACACATAGTATTAGTTTTTAAAGATTAGTTTCATAGCAGTTCTTCTAGCTTCTATTATTCTTCCTGTAACTGTAGGGTTTGGGCTCCATACATTGTGTCTTCTGGGTCTCGTGATGATCAGGACAAAAAATCCATTGCAATAAGAAAGCTGGAAACTGGAGATTGTTTTCAATTCTTCTGTAAGTGTTTTCTTTGTGGTTCAAAAATGTTAATATTTTGTCCTGGCAGATATTTAAAGGAGAAATATCTCTTTGACAGACTTTCAGCAACTTTTATTTTGTTAGGGATCACATATTAAACTAGTCGCAAACCATAAGTTTATATATAATAACATGTTGTTGTATTATAATCTGAAACTTTAAAGGTAATCAGCAACTACAGCTGTCAAATAACATCAAAAGTGAGATGTTTTCTTTCTCTACTGGTGCAGTAAAAGCAAACATACTCGGTTACCACTGGAGACACCTAAATATTTTCAAAGTTGAATGACAACACTAAATATTCAAACCTCATGGTCGCACCTGTAGAAGATGATTTGTCCGAGTGTGGCCATGGCTCCTGATGAAATCTCTTGAGACCAAGAAAAAAGGTAATTATTTATTCTTTATCCACTTTTTTTATCCAAGTAATATATTTCTGCTGCTGTCTGTCAGCAGCCTGCACAGAACTGTCTGCTCAGCCTCTCTCAGAGCACTTAGGAAATACAATACAACACCATAAGTAAATATTACTTTTAAGGTGTGTTCTTAATTTTGTTGACAGGTCATCATCTAGCTCGTTTATCTTACCAAAATAAAAGTTCATGTGACTGATTTACAAGAGAAAGAGATTATTTTTGTGATGTTAGTTAAGCTTTTACAAAGTGAAGGGATTACATCCAGAAAAGCATTTTTACAGTACTTATGACATAGAATATGCTTTTCATGTATATATTAATAGCATGCAGTACCGACTGCTGCTGGTTTTATTACGGCAAAAGCATAATATGCATACAAGGAAAAAGAGTAGCACACTGGGTTTGGCAAATTTACTCAAGGTGGACAAAATTTGATCTGTCGAGGAAAAAGAGAACATACATAACACTTGTTTATTTATGAAAAGGACCAAACATTGTTCACTAAAATAACAACAGAAAAAATAGATGATGAGAATCTCTGGTGATATTTTTGGCATTTCAAAACAGACAATTAGCCTTATTCATACTAATATCTGCTTGGACTGAACTACAGTATCGAAAGAAATGTGCCATGCAACACTTGTGTGACAAGTGAAGACATTACAGAGTCCTCTTGACCACTGAGAAATTCTGCCAACCTCAAATGTGTAACTGAAACTGAAAGCACATGTATGTCACATCATGTGATCTTATAAAACAAGAAACATTTTCTTTTTCAGTTTTTATTTTAGTTTTGCAAGAGATGTGAACATGCAACTGTGAAATCTAGAGTGTTTAAACTGTTAAGCCATAAAACAAAATGAAGCTCTTAGTTTTTGCTTTGTAGCAAACAACAAACACATATATTCTTGGTGCAAGCATTTTGTAGTAGATAACTGCAACCAAAATCCTACTTTGTTGACAATCCTTGTTAAAGATTAGTGTTAGAAAGGTGCGCATTATGTAAAATGTTATTTTGCTATAAAAATGGATGCTCAAAATGATCATATTACACAAACATACATGAAATTATAGCACACAAGCCACAAACCATTAAAGCAAATCTTTTTTTGCCCTTACCTCAGTTCTAACAAGCTTGAAAGCTAACAGTTCGTATGTCCGCCTTTATTCTTCAACACAGCCTCAACTTATGCAAGCATTCTTGTAATTTCAGATGTCTTCAGGACTAGTCCTCCATGATTCTGGAAAGATAGTCAAAGCTCTTTTTGGAGGCACTTGGGAAGCCAATCAATGACTGATAGTGCTCCATTGGGAATTTTTCTATCTAGCTATGCTTTTACTGTATTGACAGTGTGTTTGGTATCACAGTCATGCTGAAAAATGAAGCCTTTTCCTACCAGGTGCTTTCTAGATGTTATTGTATTGTTATGCATGGTGTTACTTGGTGCATTTATTAGGCTGGGCGACTGTGATTCATCATTGTCTAAAAGTTCTTTGAAAAGCATTCAGTTAGTCAAGAACGCTGCAGTGAAAGTCCTGACAGGGACTTGAAAGAGAGAGCATAATTCTCCCTTCTCTTCACTGGCTCCCGCTTAATTCAAGAGTTGGATTTAAAATCCCTATCCTTACATGCAAGGTCTTGAATAACCAGGACCCTTGATATTTTAAATACCACACAGTACTGTATTATTCAAAGCATTTTGCTCTCAGACTGTCAGCTTACTTGTGGTTTCTAGAGTTTTTAAAAGTAGAATGGGAGGCACAACCTTCAGCTTCCAGGCTCCTTTCCTGTGGAAAAAGATTCAGGTTGAATTCAGGAGACAGACACTCTCTCTACAGTTTAGATTAGGCTCAAAAATTTCCTTTTTGATAAAGCATATAGTTAGGGCTTGATCAAGTGACCCTGAATCCTCCCTTAGTTTCACTGCTATAGGCCAAGGTTGCCTAAAGGCTCTGAGTGTTTCTTCTTCACACCTCTCTTTTTGGTCTCCATGTGTTTATACCTCTAAAAACTAAATTTAAACTGTGGTTCTCTCCCATGTGTATCCTTTGTCCTGTCTTTCTCTGCTTTTCTCTTCCCACCCAACTGGTCGTGGCTTTAAAAAGGGAGTTTTTCCTTCTTACCTTGGCAAAGTGCTAGGTGTATCTCTCACATCCCGTGTCAGGTATTTGCTGATTATTTTTCTATTTCTCTAGAACATGACTTTCAGATACTGTCCAGCTGCTGTAGATAGTTTTTTTTTTATATACCTACCATTTCTTAGTTTGCCCTCTGGTTGTGCATTTCCCTAAGGTTCTTTAAGCACACTTTGCTAACCATACGGAAATGTGCCAAGTTTTCATCTTATTGCAAAAATACTGTTTTATGCCAGTTAAACTGCTTGTTTTATAGATTAAACTAAAAAAAATGTGAATAAATGTGTTTTTACAACAAGCTGCCAGTAACAAAGTGCCTTATGATACAGTTTATAATTGCTGTTATGTGACAAGTTGTCGGTGTAAACACAACACATTCCTTGAGTTAGGTCATTTTTATTACTGGTCACAGTTAACCAACTTGATATCTTATTAACCATATCACTATGTTGTTTGAATAACTTTAACGTGTATTTCCTGAAATTTTCCCCCGTGATGTTGTCTATTAGTGAATAGAATCTGTCTGGAAAACCCTAAAAATGTATTTGAGAAGTGAAAACCAAGATTTGCATCATTCTGAAAGTACTTAAAAGAGCCTCATTGTGGTAAACCGTGGACACAATGTATTTAAAGGCAATATAATGGCAGTATATGCTTTATGCTTCAAAATTATTTTTCATTTTCACTCAGCCATTGGAGGAGGAACATTTTAAAAATCTAACTTACTAACTTAAGACATCTGATACTAGTTTCATCCAGGATGGCATTTCCGGAGTTTACTTACAAACTTCTTCAAGTAATCAGAAATTCTGTGGGTGTTTTGGTGCTCATAGTCATTTTCTACATCCTGCAGTACATTTTTAACATGCATTTTTTATGCTCGTGTGAACCGGGCCTGCATCCAAATGGTGTACTGTACATGGCTCTGCCGCCTTTGATCCTCGCCTTTATTGTCATCATTGTTGAACCTTTTCACCAAAGAAAGATTTTTTACTGGTGTCACTCTCTCTCGAGATGTGCTATGTGTGTTGGCAGCTATGTCTGTAAGGTTTTCATTAAGTGGATCAGTTTGGCGGCTGTATGGATAGCCGCTGTTCTGTTTGATGGAGACTGGTTCGTTTGCCTAAAGACAAACTTTAACAAGAACCAGACTGGAATTCCATGCAAACAAAATCTGACCTATGAGGAGCAACGGATTATAGGAGACTATATGACTCAATCACTTGTAAGTAACAACACACAACAATCATGCAACATCAATTTGACTAACATAATTTTTAAACTAAAATTCATATGTTTAAAAATGTAAGACAATGAAATTTCGTTACATTTAAAAGCATTTTAGTTCTACCTCCATGTAAGTATCACAATGTTTTACTTAGTGCACTCAGAGCATCAAGTGGATGCTTGCGCAAAATTCAAAAGCTGTAAGTCTGACTGACAATAGAGAAAGAAAACATCACTTTAACAACTGTTCATGCTCAAAAGTCCTTTATGTACTGCCAGGTTATGGGAAGCTGAATGTTAAGAAATGCGAAAAGAGTTGAAATAAACTTGAACTTGACTAAAAGAACAAACCTACATTTAAAACAAGTATGTGAATTGTTTTCAAATTGTAGCTTTTTTTTTCTTTTCCAGGATTATGGTCTTTTTCTCATCTGTGGTTTTTTATTTGTCTGGACGACCTGTGAAATTAAAAGACTGTCTTGCAGCTGTTTTAAAACAAGGCCACGCTGTCAGCCTTACTACAGTGTAGTATTTGAAGACCTTCTAGCAGAGGAAGTCAGTATTCACCTAAATGACAAACTAAAAAAAATGGCAACAAAAAAGGCAAAAAACATCTGTAAGCCCTACCTTGAAGCTATTAAGGCTCATAAGCTGTCAGGAAACGATGATGATAATGACGATGCAAACACTGCTGCTTCTGAAGCCTGGGAGAAAATTTCCATCCCTGGTTTCTACTTGATGGAAGATGAGGAACAATAAACAGCTGGAGACACTGTAGCAATATTTTAAACTGTCATTTGTTAGAACCTTTACATCTATCAAAGTCTGTATCTCATATGTACATTTCATGTGGATATTTTATTTAGTCAGTTATCTATTTATCTGTTAATTTAGAAGACGTTTTACCAACGAAAATCTGTGTTATAAGTTTTTCCTATATATTTCCTAAATAATTTTACTTTCTTTCTACTTTCTTTGCAATAGTTTACTACACTAATTTTGAGAGAATATGACAAGCAAATTATACATATGATCGTTTTCTATTTATTTGTGTCAGAAAATATTGTTCAACATTAAGAAAACATATGGCAAGGAAAGAACAGTTCAAGCAATAAACTTAAATGTAAACAAAAATGGAATACATAGTATTTTTCACTGGAATTAAAATGTGCATCACCTGGCTCATGTCTGTCCAGCCCAATTTTACTTTTTAAGTGTGTGTGTGTGTGTGTGTGTGTCCATGATTGTTTATGTTAATGAGAGTGTGGGGAGTGAATTGGAGGGCGGGGTGGGGTGGGCTGCTTTTAACCATGTAAAGCACTTTGTGCTACATTGCTGTATGAAAAGTGCTTTATAAATAAAGATTGATTGATTGATTGATTGATATGATTCTTTTGAGTATAATGTACTTAACATTGTTTTTTTGTTTTTTGTTTTTAGATAAAAGGAACTACAATTCAGCCATGAAAAGTAGTCCAATAATAAAGGAGGTGTATTAAGCAATAATGTTCATGTATCTACTCTGGTCAAAAGAATGCACGCTTCGTACTGATGTCCACAATTCTTTTATTCCTCTCACAATCATAGAGCACCGTGAAAACTAGAAACAAGTAAAATAATATCAATAGCACATATGATATTCATCTCAGCCACTTATTTCCTTTCACAAAGTGCACA